TCAGCATCAGCTGACATCAGTTACATAAGGCTCGTGATTGGAGGAAGTCTGTTTGGCGGACTCAGGCTTTTTCACTCGTGTTTGGAGGCTAGCCTTAGGAGGAAGCCTCTTTGCAGAGACAAAGTATGGGCAGTTTTGCAACCACGTGGTTCTCTCCACGTGGCTGACTTCCTTGAATAAGACGCCCTTCAATTTTTGGCATAAGGATTTTAGAAAAAAGTATCGTCTTATAGTCGGAAAAATATGGCATTAACCAGTTTATCATGTTAGAAAGGGAAGGGTTCCTGACAGCCTTTCTTTTGAAAAGGGAAACTGTCACTGAGAAGGCCTGTTCTGCAACCCTAAAAATGGTAGGAGGGCATTGGGAGAAGGCATTTCATTATGTGCTTAGATGCCACAAGAGAGCTTGTTGGAAGAGGAGATAAGTAAATGGAGTGGTCATACTGTACATTGGGATTCATGCACCCTCATTCCATATTCCTGAATATTTAGAGAGAGTTCACTACTCCTGCCTTCATGCTTTTTAACATCAGTAAATTATAGTTAATATGGTGTACCCTAACAAGCATGGTTATTGTCTAAATACAATACATTATCCATGTGTGAATAATACCTTAATCCCTAGTGGGACAGTAATGGTATTGGATGGATCCTACTGTAGAAAAGGAAATTGGAGCATTTGAGTTTCTAAATCAATTCTTTAATAAGCAAGATTGTCTCATTGGGAGAGTACTGTTCTAGGGCATCACATGTTTACATAAATGACGATATCCTGAGGTAAAATCCTGACTCCTGTGAGGAGCTGAGCTGAAGTTCCCATTTTATGTCAGCAGGTATAAGGAATCCGTAGAGAGTTAGTCTGTGATATCAGTATTTCCTCATCATCTGCTGATGAGGTTGGGGAATTTTCCCCTTCTTCAAACTAGTTCTCTGATACTAGTTGTAGTTGTTCAGGCCTTTAGACCATAGATTTGTTACTATGGTGCCCTCTGTCTTCACTGAAAATTTTGTCTCAGTGCTTTGTTGTTGGCTCTAGGTACGTGCCCACCAGCTGGTCCTCCCACCCTGTGATGTGGTCATCAAGGCTGTATCTGAATATGTCGGTGCCATCAAAAATCCCTCCAACCTGGATGTGATAGGGAGAGACGTCTTCAAACACTCCCAGGTGAGGTGGGATCTGTGGAGGTAGGTCTAGACTAGCATCAGGCTTAATATTTATATGGTATAAAAGGTGCAAGCTATGGAGAGGAGAGAGAAAATAGGACCTGATAATGTGACTGGCAACTTCAGTGTTTTTACTTTCTATAGAAGCTAATAAGTTTCTACTTTCCTGAGGCACTTTCCTTCTGCTCTATAATTAATATAAATCTCATAACTTTGTGATTACATTAGGAATAGAGTCGGTAGCATATGTAACTATAGTGGGATTTTCATGCTGAATCCTAGGCTGTTGTTGCTGCACTCCTTTCTTCTCTCATTTCCATCTTTTCTTTCTCATTCCTCCCCAGTCCAGGACTGAAGATAAAATAGAACGCTTCAAGAAAGCAGTAGAATATTATTCAGTGGCCATGAAGGCACCTCCTACACCAGCGGGCCAATCCCCGTATGTTCGTGAGTATCCAGGCGACGCTGGTCAACTTCACCTCTCTCTCAAGCGTGTTTTCTCCCGCTGGCCAAGAAGGTGAGGCCCTGCCTGATACCTTACAGCATCCTCTGCTGGGAGAGGTCAGGTCTGGATTTAAGTCTGAAATTACCTCCTCTTGGCCCAAGAGAGCTTTAGTGCCTTTTAATAACTACGTAGTTGGAAGAAGTTTGGGATGATTTCTTCAGCAATAATGCCAGAACAAGGTGGAAATTCTGTCCTCTGTATCATGGTTTACTTAAAGGCACAAAAGCACCTTTCTAGGCCGGATGCTGGTAATCTTACTGGGCCCCTCCTGGATCCTGCATTCTGAGCTCATAGTACACTGCTCCTAATAGTTGTCCTTCTGTCCATTATTATGTGTTTATTTTACAAAGCAAAAAGATTGTACACAGAATATATTTAAGCAATTAAGGCATAATTGGCCCAAATGCCCCTTGATGCAGCATTCTTTATAAAGATCCCAGCATCCTAAAGAATTTGGTCATCTATTAAAAATCAACAAGTGGTTTGTTGGTTAACCACTAGTTCATGCTCCCTTAGGTATCTACTCTTGGACTCAGTAGCTGGGAATTACCTTTTTAGTCCGTATACTTGCCATTGTACCAGGCTTCTTTCTGTCCTGCTTCTGTCACCATCCTTTACTAGGAAACTTGGTCAAGTGTGTGAGAGCCACTCTCCTAAAACAGTTCCCAAATAAAGTTCTACGGGATCCTGCACTTCCAAGCTCCTCAAGGATTTTTTTCGGAGATAAATGGTAATGGGGGACAAAGCACCCTTCACTCTAATTTCTGTTTCATGTGGGACAGCCAGCAGAGCTGTTGTGTCCTCCTGTTACTCTCTGTGACTTCAGGGTACGCTCTAATCTATCACAAGAATCTGATGCACTGCTTAGGCTTTTGCGGGGGGGGGATTAGAGATATTTATTTATTTACTTATTTATTTATTGTTGCCCAAGCATAAAGAGATAGTTTTATTTGTTTGTTTGTTTATATTTATTTATTTATTTATTTATAGTTGCCCAAGTATAAAGAGTTGTCCATGGGTACCAACTCTGAAAAGTACAGGTTTTGGAAAATACAGGACTGATTATGCTTCAGACAATGAAGATAAGATTCCCATGCACAACTGCTGTCTGAAGTGTTTTGTTATTCACACCCCAATTTAATTGGCTTCTGCATTGGCAGAAGTCTCCACTCAGGGTATCCTGAGGGTAATGTTGGGCTAAAGTGGGTTTTTTTTTTTTTTTTTTTTAGTATATAACAAAGATCTAATTCTTTGTTTCAGTCCCAGCATTTGGGCCCAACCACTTTGGAGGGGCAGCACCTCTGAATCGCAATCCAGTGGTATCACTTCCTTCTGGGAAGGCTATGGTAAGTGCCCAGAATTGCTTTAGACAGATGTTAAACTTGGATTGAAATTTCCATTACTGCATCCATCTGGTGTATCAATGCTCATTGAGTTAGAGAAAGCCCTGTCAGTCCTTGCAGGCCCAACCTACAACAAGAAGCTGTTATGTATACAACATAGATTGAGATACGAACTTGGCCTGCATCCTTCAGACAGCAGATAAGTGGGAGAACTATATTTCTGAATGCTCCTTTTCTTTATAAGTCCCACTGCACAGAAGACATTAACGCATTAGGGAGAGACTTAAACAGTCCCCTCTAGTTTATGTCATATAAGCAATAAATATGAGGAAACGTTCAGAAAATTGCACCCCTCTTGAAGTCAGTCTGAAGAGGTATAATTTAAAATTCTACCACATCAATTTGCCTCACTCATGGGGCATAAGCGTATAACTCAGCTAAGGAAAACTGAATTATCTGGCTGCAGTGAGCAAGTTAGTGAGTCATTGTGCATCTGTAGATTACTCTTTTTGCTACCACTTATCAAAGTGTCCCCTGTGCTACTCCATAAGTCCAATCATACCAGGGCTGTGTGTGTTGCATTGGTGTATAATAAGCATATGGAAGGTAATATTTGAAACATGGTATCATTATAGAATATCAGGCTTTTTGTTTCCTTTGGAAGCACTTTTTTCTGTCTGTTACAGGTGTGAGCTAAGCATTAAAAGATTTGTAAATGTTCTCAGGAGTAAAAAAAAGTGCAATAGGATCTCTAGTAGAGAATGATTCAGAACTACAGGTAATCCTTGGTTAATGACCACTCGTTCAGTGACCATTTGAAGTTACGATGGCACTGAATGGTGGTTATGACCAGTCCTTGAACTTTCAGCTGTCCCAGCACCCCTGAGGTCACGTGATCACGATTTGGGTGTTTGGCAGCCAGCTCACACTTTTGACAGTTGCAGCATCCTGTGGTCACATGATTGCAATTTGTGACCTTCCCTGTCAGCTTCCCACAAGCAAAGTCAATAGGGAAGCTGGCAGGGAAGGTTACAAGTTGCTTGGTTATATCTCCCCCACCCATGCACCTTCCTCCAGCCCCTCTGTGCTTGTGCCATGTCAGCCACCCGCACACCCTTGTTTACCCTCCCTGAGCCTTGTGTTTGCTCCGTGCTTGTTCCACGCTTGCACTGCACTTCCCGAGCTACTCGCACACCCTCCCCAGCCACCTGCGCACCCTCCCTGGCCACTCGTGCACCCTCCTCCACCCAGCAGCAGCCACTTGCCTGCCTGCCAGCCTGCTTGCAAGCCACCTAGGACTTGCAACTTCCTGCTGGCTTCCCCAGTTTGCTTACTGTTATGATTCATAGCAGTTCTCCAAGACTTCAGACAGGTCTTTTCACTTGTCTGTTCTCTGCTTCTGTTTTTAACTGCAAATGCCAGGGAATTAATCCAAAACCTTCTATGTGGTAAGCCTTTGCTTAGCTTAGCTTAGCTTAGCTTAGCTTCTGTGCTACTGGGCTATCACTCCTCCCCAGGTTTGAACAAGTAGTTCTGACTGCAGTCAACCCTTTTTCCCCTTCTCTTTGCTTCCATCTCCAGTTTGCACCCCAAATGGGGCCAAAGATGCAGTATCAGCCACCTGCTCCACATGGTGGCATTGCTGCCTCCTCGTCTTTCCTTCCGGGTCCTGGTTCCAGTTTTCTCTTCTCACCTCATGGCTTGGCGGATGCGGTGCCCTTCCATGAAGATCCTGCCTTGAAGGGTGGTCACTTCAACAACTGGCCTGTATCATATGATAACTGTCCCACCAAGTTTCCTAACCATCACCTGGGTTCCAAACCTTCCCCATCATCTGGGCCTGGGTCTTCACCTTCTTCTTCTTCTGATGGAGAAGAGCATAATGGAACCAATTCCAAGTGAGTGTGGCCCACTGGAGTCCTGTGACCTGCTAAGCAAACTCTGGGGTGACTGTGATAGTTTATGGGGGAAAGTGAGGAGAAGTAGCCAGGTCTCAGACATGCTATCCTTGTCCTGGGGAACCATCAAACAGTTGGAAGAAGCAAGATTCCTGGATTTTAACAAGATTCCTGGATTTTAATCCCATTTTAGGATGACAGTATTTCCTTTTCTTCCTCCAGCCATGTTTCTGAAACAGTGTCTCGCAAATCTGGCTGGGAGGATCCTGGGGGTGAAAAGATAATGAATCAAGGCTGGGGACAATCACCTGGGAACACTGGCAACTCAGAAAGGACCTTGAGTGGACCTGAAGCCCACATCCCCTCACTGCTCTCTATGGCAACCCGCAACCACATGGACATAACCACCCCACCTTTGCCTCCTGTTGCTCCAGAAGTACTTCGAGTGGCTGAACATAGGCATCGCCGGGGGCTAATGTACCCTTTCATCTACCATGTCCTTACCAAGGTGAGGTGGGCAGTGAGCTTTTGCCATTCTATTAATTGGTTTTCTTGCAGGAGACCTAGGTGGTTTTGAGAACAGTCAGGTGGTTGAGAATCAGTGATCCAGGATTCTCATTTCATTCCAGGGTGAAATCAAAATCCCTGTGTGCATTGAAGATGAATGTAACACTGAACTGCCGCCAGCAGTTGTTCTTTTTCGGGCCTCGCGGCAGTATGTATATGGTGTCCTCTTCAGTGTGGCTGAGACCCAACGGCGGATGGAACGCCTGGCTGTGCGTAAGCGCATTCCCGTGGAAAGTAGGTAACTTCTCCAGACTTGTACATGTTCGTAGTTGCTGAGTTCTCATATAATGCTAAATCATAGTAATGTGATTTAACCACAGTTTATTAAGTAAGACATAAGGGTTGGATTCTTGTTTACCACATATTAAGTCAAATGAGGTAAACCACACATGCTTTAGTATGATCAGTAAATCTAATCATTGTTTCTAGGGCTTGGTGTTAAAAAATTGGAGACAAGCTCCAGAACTTAGGTTAGGTAGCTCAGAAGGATACACCCTATCATGGAGGAATTTGCATTGGTTAATAAGCCTGCAGGCACAGATTTCATTCCTGCTACCCTTTTTTCAAGGCAGCTGAGAGATGAGTACTGAGAGTCAGTTGAGTGCCTAGTGCTGCCTGCCTGGGGGGTAAGTTTCCTCTGTTTTTAAATTGTTCACTATTAGGAAGATAGTGTTTATGGGATGTAATGTAACCTTGTCCCTATGCATTGTCCTTTCTTTTCAGATAGATTTCCATATGCACACATATAAACTGAGTACATTTCAGATAGTGTTGCTATGTTGCTGGGCTTTCCAGTTGCCAAATGGAAGTGCTATGTTGCTTTCTTTGTTGACTTTTCAGAGTAGATTGCCAAATGCAAAACTTCCTAATTCAGTAATTTTCCTATAACACTATATATGTGCATTAAGAGTTCTGAAGCCAGTAGCCAGAGAGGTAGAGCTTTGTGGCATGTTTTCATGGATTGGATTGAGATAGATCCGTTGCTATTGCTTTTTCGCTAGCCCTTCTGAGATGCTTTGGGCAGGCAGCCCACAAACATATGCTTGTTATTGGTTCCGTTGTTTGCTGTGGGGATTTTTAAAAGTAATTTCATTGGCCATTTTTAATAGGTTGGGTATTTTAATAGAATCAGAATGGATTGCCATTGTAGTTCTAGGACAGAAAACAAGGGAACTAGTGGCTTGTTTTGAATTCCCAATTGTTCTTTATGGTCAAACGTTTTGAGTTTATTTGCCAGAACACAGCCTACTTGAAACATTTCAACAGAACATTTTGGGTGGACTGACTTTGTTTTAAGCTCACAACAGAAAGAGTTTTTGTTAGTTTTGTGCACATTCATATTCTCTAGGCCAGGTACTAACCTGCCTTTTCTTCAGTTATTTCAGCATGAATGGCTCTAGGGGCCATGTTCTGCTCCCTCCTGTATATTTCAGTAGTACCATGGTTGATCTTCACGTTCATTGCACATCTTTTGCTTTCCTAGCTGTCTTCTTTAATCCTGAAAATGAACCTCAGCTTATTTTGTCTGCCTCTATCTACTTTCCTTTGATTTGTATCCCCCAGGCAGGGACTAGCACCAAGCCAGCTTTTTTCTGCAACTTGTTCATAATTGTGTAGTTAGAACTTTGTGATGGTCTGTAATCATACCGTGTAGCTGTGGAATTCGTGCCCTGGCATCTTTTAGAAAAAGAGATGTTTGGAAGAGGTGTTGGCTGTACCTGATGAAATTTCAGAATAATGACAAGAAGAATAACTTTTGCTGCCACAAGCGGAGGGGTCCATGTGTTGAACAGCTCAATCCCTTTCCATGACAAGTAGAATTATATTTTATCATGCAGAATGGAGACACTTGTTTATTTTAATACTTTATGCCACCAAATCTACTCTTAGATTCACATGACTGAATTAGACCAGAGGTAAACCTTAGTCTAGTATCTAGATTTCCACTTGCTTCTGGGAAGTCCACAAATGAGGCATGAGAATAATGCCCTTTCTTACAAATCCTCCTTTGCAGATGATCTTCAGCAGCATGCTGGTTTTGAGCACTGAGTTTTCATTAATTATAATGGCTGACAACCACTGATAAATCCTTGATTGTTGAGGAATATGTCTGCTCCCCTTTATGGAGCCATTTAATCTAATTGTGATTACCTTGTTGTATGGTGGTAAATCTCATAAATCAGTTGTACATCCTTATATAAAGAAATACTTCATAGTATTATAGAGAGGGGAAAATGTGTTTCCCTACCTCTTCCTCACCATACAGTATTTTATAATAATCTATCTTGTTCAAGTCCAAAGGGTGTGTTTTTAATTATCCTCCCATACTTTAATGTTACCTTATGTAAATGGATTCCATTCTGTTGCAATTTTTAGCTGCTATCCCTAAGTTCCTTTTGCAGCTGAATGAGTTAAGTTGACCGGAATAGCATTCAGTAGTCCCTGATTCCTGGTTTTCCATGTTTGACGCTGGATAAAGAGTTTGTGTCCCTGTTGATTCTGGTGGATATCTTTTTGGCTTTCAGTCTCACTGATTATCCTTCTGGTTTGATTTATAATAATGGAATTGAACACACTGTTTCATGGTGACAGCTTAGATCCAACTCGAAACACTGGTACTAGGGTTACTGTTTGATGCTGTGGCTACTAACCTTTGGGCTTCATTGTGCTTATCATACTATTTAACCATATATATGACATTGGAGGAGATGATCCAGTGTTTGCGGATCCAGTCCCACCAGAATGCAGCTGATAGTTCTGTCTCTCATTTCCATCTGAACATAAGTAGGTTGTGCACATTCTAATTTAGTATCTGATATTACTTCAGGTCAGTCACAAACATGGAGTTATTGGCAAAAAATAGATCTTTAAATTGGCTGGCTAAGAACAAAACCATTTTCCAATCCAAAAAATACCCGTCAATGAGTATGACACAATTCTTAAGAAGGGCCTAATCTAGAGAAGCTCTCTGGGTGACTAGGTGAGTTACCCTGTCTCAGCTGAACCTACCTCATGGGGCTTTTGTTGTGGGGAAAAGTGGAAAGAGGAAGTGCTATGTATACCACCCCAAGCTCCTGAACAAATGTTAGGATATAAATATATCAGATAAACTTATTTGGGGGAAATGAAGGCTTATTGTTATATTTATGTTAGCTTAGTGATCTCCTGCTGTTTGTTATTTAATCTATGTTATTGGCAAAAAAATAGATCTTTAAATTGGCTGGCTAAGAACAAAACTATTTTCCAATCTGAAAAATACCTGTCAATGAGTTTGATGCCATTCTTAAGAAGGGCCTATTCTAGAGCTTTTTTTTTTTTTGAGTTGTTGGATTCCATGGTCAAATATGAGTGCTTCCATCACGTGCCATATCATGAGAGGACATGTATATATGGTGCCCCAACCATTGAAGATATTGCTCATGTTTTGTTTGACAGTCAACTCTGTGCCCCTTTTGGCCTTAGATATTTAACATCCCTACTTGAAAGAACAGCCTGCTGGGACTTGAATCACACAGATTGTCCTATTTCCTGCTGGGCTGTTACATATACATTGTGACCAGAACTGCTAAGTTTATAGACAAGGCAGTTCAGCTAAGAACCCGTTAAATTGAACAGATTGGGGTATCATGTAAAGGTGATACATTTATCTGAACACTAATTCTTTGCATTGACCACATATGTATTTTATTATTGTATTTTCTTTTACCTATTTTACTCTGGAATTAGACCTTGTATTTTATTTTCTTTGATATGATCGTAAGACTAATCAGTTAATAAACTACTACTTCAGGTCAGTCGAAAGAGATGAAGAAATAGGGATTCCCCTTGATTCAGGTGTTGGGCTTGTATGATACTCCCGTATTCAGCCCTGAAATGGGATGCCTGGCTTTTGTTGGCAGCCAAGAGTATTTGTGTACAGGATTTATACTGTAACACAAATCTACAAGTGGCAAGGACAGCAGTAATGATAATGATTATGTCTAAAGTATCTCACAAATTGGGATTGGCAAACTGTTTCATTTCAAGAAATGCCAGAACTCTCCATTTTTCCTCTAGCCCATGGTAACCTGGCATTATGGGGATACTCCAGGGAGTTTTCCAGCAAGAAATCTTCTAGAGAGGTTAACATATTAATATATATTTGGGGTGCCTGTTGTGATCTGGGTTGCCTTTAAAACTCTTTTAATCCAGGCTATGTGGTTTTATGTTTTCATTGTTTTTATGGTTTTTTGGTTTTGTATACTACCCAGAGTCCATTGGAGTTGGGTGGCTATAACAAATTTGAATAAATTATAAATTAAATAAATTTAAAATTAGAGCAGCATGTAAATCATGGTGTTTTGGACGTTTTACTTCAGGTAAAGTGTCAGACTGCCCTGGAATGGCCAAATCAGCACGGTCTGTAAGAAAAATGGAATGTTCCAGTCTTCCCCACAGCGTTCTGTCCCTTGAACACAACATTTTGCATATCCCCGCTTTTAAATCTCAGCTTTGGTATAAAGGCCTACATACTTTTCCCATATTGCACAGCAAGCTACTCCTTGGCGTACTGGATCAGAGATGACACAGTGCAAAGAAAAGTTGTATGCGTGTTAAAATGTACAATGGAGCCATAGCACTGTTTCACTGTTTCATCTTGAGCTTGTAATACATTTTTGCTGTAAGTGTATATACATTGAAACACACCTGGCTGGTTTTGACTATTTGTTTCCCACCCAGATTTGGCCTAGAATATCTGAGTTTTGTTTCTCTTTATTATGTGAACTGGGGAAGTGATTTTTCCTAATCAGATGTTCTTTCCTGCGTAGCTCATCCTGTTATCGTCAAGGAATGGTCAGCATACAAAGGGAAATCACCCCAGACTCCAGAGTTGGTCTCAGCTCTTGCTTTTCGGGAGTGGACCTGTCCCAACCTCAAGAAGCTCTGGTTGGGCAAAGCAGTGGAAGACAAGAACCGGCGTATGAGAGCATTTCTGGCTTGTATGAAATCAGACACACCTGGCATGCTCAACCCTGCCAATGTTCCAACACACCTACTGCTCATGTGTTGTGTGTTACGGTGAGTGGAGCATATCTCAAGAAAAAAGTGAAAGAGTGGCAAGTAACATTGGGTGCAGGGGATGGCACTGACAGAATGTGGCTACAGTGGTGTGAGAGATCTGTATTGATAGCTCAGCGGGTTTTGGAGAATCGGTATTGAGAAATCCAGTAGGTAGTAGGTGAGAATGAGATGACAGTATCTGAAAATACAAAAGAGTAAGTATAATGCAGCAGTTAAGGTGTTGGAGTGGCAGTGGGGGGACCCAGTCCTTCCTGAGCCACGGAAGCTCACTGGGTGATTAGGTGAGTTACTCTGTCTCAGCCAAACCTACCTCATGGGGCTTTTATTGTGGGAAAAAGTGGAAGGAGGAAGTTCTATGTATACCACCCAAGCTCCTGAACAAATGTTAGGATATAAATATATCAGATAAACTTATTTGGGGCAAATGAAGGCTTATTGTTATATTTATGTTAGCTTAGTGATCTCCTGCTGTTTGTTATTTGAAGATAACATTCTCAAAACTTACAAGTCAATCTAGAATCTTTCTGATTCTAAACATGGTGACAAACAATGTCCTGACCACTTACTAAGGTGCTCATTCAGGATATTTGTTCTGCAAATAGTGACTACTGAAGTGTGAAATTCCATTTAAATAGTTCTCTAGCTTCATGGCTCATAATTTTTATGCTAACTGAATCTGTCTACCCATGTTTTTTTGTGAAACTACAAACTCTAAATTTCAACGTTTTTAAAAACAATTGTAATCTTCAAGGCCCAGCAGAATCCAAAGGTAAAAAGTATTTTGGATTTTGATACTTCTTTGATAATGTGCTTGGTTCTTTTATTTGAATTATTCTTTTTTTTCCCCCAAGATACATGATACAGTGGCCTGGGGGCCGGATCCTCCACAGACATGAATTGGATGCTTTCTTGGCCCAGGCTGTGTCTGCTCAGTTATATGAACCAGATCAGCTTCAGGAATTGAAGGTTGGGGTTATTTATCTCTCCTATATTAGTCCTTGTGGGGGGAGTAGGAAAGAAGAGTGAAGATGAGATTAGAGCTAGTGGGCTGAGAATAGAGAGTGCCCAAGTCTTGTTCTTGCCAATGAAAAATAAATTCCTCTTACATTTTCACATGCATGGAACCAGCTGTTTGTCCATGCGTTCCTGCTGTCCCTTGCTCATCTTCCATTTCTTTTGGCTACTACACTGCCCTTGGTATCTCTCCCACCCCTCCCAGGTTCTATCTTATGCAAATTTCAGCTTTCTAATCCAGTTGTTGTTCTGATAAAAAGCAGGTGAACTTGCACAGATGGGTGCAAGATGAACTAGTGGGTGCTCATATAATTAAATGCTTGTCTGTCAAGAATGATTCCTTGCACATAGAGAACTAAAGTTTAGGGGACAATAGAAAGATTGTACTAGGATGTACTAGGTCTCCTATATATGCAGGGGATATTTCTTTTATTTGACCATAAACTGAAATACAAATCTGCATAAATGATATTGGATTGCTTATGTTTGATGCCTCGTTGCTCAAAGGAGAGCTGGAGAGCTGTAGTAAAGACAATATTTTGAGATGTTACAGGATAATTACTATAAAATTTTAAAAGAGTTTTAATAGCAATAAAAATGTTCCTCAATCCCTTCTTCCTTTGACTGCAGTCAGTCCTGCTTTCCTTAAAAACTCTGCTTGAAAGCCAGTGTTGTGCCATTGGATCCTGGAAGAAAGCCTACTCCTTAATTCTAAGATAAAGGCTGCAAGGGACTCCTTCAGGATGAAAGGACTCTTGTACATATTCCAAACAAGTGTATTAGATCTCCCTGTCTCTCTAAAAATAGGGCATGGCTGCATAAGAGGTGGGTAGAAAGGAGTTAGACCTGTCTAAAAGAAGATGACCAGAAGTACTAAGATGAAAGTGCTTCCAAAGTGCATCTTCAGTGCAGAGAAACTAAACGGCCCTGAGTGTTCTCTGGGAGATGACTAAAGGGTGGGAATATTGAATGGAGGTGACCTCTGCCTTAAGAAGCTTTCTCTTGAAGTGAATGCTGTTTTCTTCCCTTGGCTGAACATAATGTGCTTCACACCAGTAGACCTTACGACTTGAGCAAGTGAGCAGTGTATACTGCAGCCACTGTGGTGTATTGTAGTTTGTTTGTCGTCTTCTGTACATCATACATAGTGAATTAATTTCTTTGGGATGGGTTTCAGCCAGTAAAGACGAACCTGCTTCTGTGGAATAGGTGTTCACTTGGAAGTTTATGCTTTTTTGTTTTAACAGTATGATCATATGGGCAGCTTTGACTCTGAATTGGAACAGAGGCATGGATTGTGCCATCTCTAATACTGCCATCTCTAATACTGACGTGTCAGTATTGCTGTATCCTGCCTTATATAGACTCTTAAGCTGAATCTTGGTCACTAAGGCCAGAAGACAGAGGAGAGGGAGTACTAACTTTCCCTCCTAAAGGCCAAGGAATGTTGCTTTCCTTGCAGATTGAGAAACTGGATCCCCGGGGAGTTCAGTTGGCTGCTCTGTTTATGAGTGGAGTGGACACGGCCCTCTTTGCCAATGATGCTTGTGGGCAGCCTGTGCCCTGGGAGCACTGCTGCCCATGGATCTACTTTGATGGGAAACTCTTTCAGAGCAAACTGATTAAAGCCGCAAGAGAGAAGGCACCTCTGATAGACCTCTGTGATGGCCAGGTAAGCAGAGTGACTTCCAGAAGCAAGCAAGCAAGCACAAAGCAGTTGCTCCTGCTCCTGATTTTTGAAGTTGCGGTGGCAGCAGTTGTTTCTGGTTTTCATTCCTAGGTGTTCTAATGCTCAGAAGAGGGTTCCAATGCTGCATATATGTTCTCTCCTCTTCGAATCAACAGTGAGGCCATTTGAGCAAGGATACGGATATTGCTCTCAAATTACCAAGAACTTAGACTGGCTGCTGTTTGATAGTTGCTTTACAAAATGAATTAAAAAATAACAGCTTTATAAATTGCTGATATTCCAGATAACTTCATCTTTCAGTTTTGTCTCCCTCATCAATAGCTGAATGTGCATTCTGTGTGTTTTAGACTGCACACAAAGGCAGCAGGGAAAATGCAGTGCTATCACTCTCCTTGGCTTGCTGCCGTAAATAAGCCTTGGAGCAAACTGATAGTCCAGGCATCTTATTTTGTGCTTTAAAAAGCATATTGTATAGGCTGATCTAACTAAAGTGGATCATGTTCAAATCCTGTTGATTTCAGTGAGAGAATTGCAGCACCTAATATTGTCTGGATACATCCTCCTTATCCCAATTACTGTCAACCTATTGTATGATTTTTCCCCTTGGGACTTTGCCAAAGGAAAATGCTCTAGATTTCTCATCAGTTGTACTTTCTTGACCTTGGAGGATATTAGATAGACTGTAAGAATATGGAGATCTTCCCAGAATTCTACCAGATACTTATTCTGTCTTTTTTGTTTCTGTTTGGTCTTGGTCAGACCGAGCAGGTGTCTAAAGTAGAGAAGATGAGGCAGAGTATTCTGGAAGGCATTAACCTCAACCGACAGGCTCCCCCACCTCTTCTCCCACCTCCACCCTTTGTGCCCTCCATGGCACCACCTTTTTATCCAGTGCCTCTTTACCCTCGCACTATTGGATCGGTGCAACCAGCAGCCCCTGGGAGGACCAGAGGCTTCACCGGTAAGTGGCTGAGATCCAGATGCCTCTACTAGTCATTTAATTCATGTTATGTGGTTCCTATTCAGAGTTCTAAACAACGAGCTTAATAATACCATAATCAGAGTCCTTATTAGTACAGTGTCTTGTTGGCATGAAATTCTTGGGAATGTTAAATGCTAGCTCCTTTATGACTTCTAGCTCAAATGTGTGTCTTTAATGTTGAAAGGATGCAACTTAGTGTGCAGTAAACCACCAAAGATGTGTACACATGCCTTCCTCCTCCCCTGTCTCTTCCAACAGTAAATTTGATTTTTGGATCTAGATCTGTGGATAATCTAATCGTGTCTCCCTCTTTCTGTCTTTACCTTTTCTCTTACTGACTATGTCTTTCCTCTCTAGGACTCCATCCAATCCCACCACAAGGAGGCAAACTGGAAATTGCTGGGATGGTTGTGGGGCAGTGGGCTGGGAGCAAACCCTCTCGGGGACAGGGCTCCTTTGGCATGCAGGTGGTGTCAGTTGGAGGCCCAGGGAAAGGGTAAGTAGCACTGCAGAATGGCTTTGATTAGTTGCTGCCAGATTCTCCCTTTGTTCCCTGTAGCCTCTAGAAATGCTAGGGGCAGGACATCATGGCTCTTTTGAGTGGGGGAAAAAAAACGTTTGGTGTGAGCTGTGCATGCAAATGTTTCCATGTGAACCCACACTTTTACTGTCCCTGGTCAAGCACACACAGAAGCCTTTAGGTGTAGCACTCTGTGAGTGAAGCCTTCCTCCCTGCTTCCATCCCAGCTGTGCTTAGGGTCAACAGATTTCCTACAGGCTACAATGGCTTGCTTGGATATTTTGCTCTGTGCTTATTATTACCTGAACAGAGCTAAAAGGAGAAAGGGTGAAGATGGGAAAGGAAAATAGCCAATTAAAACATTATTTCTTAAAGATACATTTTTCTTATAGTACCAGATTTGATGGAAACAGTTCAAGGTAGGCTAAATGACAGTTTGATCTTCAGCTGGCTCTGTTTCCCATCTGCTGATGGGTGGTAAGTAATGGAAAGGAAAAGCCAAATGAAATAAATAGAGCTATTTATATTTAATATTTGGATATACTGCCTATCTTCTGAGACTGACAAATACATTCACACAAGCAAGCCACCCACAATCTTTTATCCGTGTTTCAACTGATTCCTGAAAAGACTTGATATGAAAAGCATCTTTATCTGAGCATGATTCTTGTTTATGGTGGGTGAAAGGCTCTTTAGAAGTTTCAGTTGCTAAGCTTCTCAGCACAGGAAATGTATTTATTTATTGGGAAGGGGTTAAATTATCCTAATGTATTACTGTTGGATGTTTTAATTGCTTTGATCTTGTTTGTAAACTGCTAAGAGTCCCTAAGAGATATAGCAGTATACACCCAATAAATAAATAGGTGATCTCTTCTACTGGTGAACTTGAACTTTCACCTTTTTTTTCATTTCTTGTTCTACAGCCGTGGCCGTGATAGCTCTGGAAAAATCCCCAAAGGAAACAAGAAAGTAAACAAGCAAGTATGTCTCCTTAAGTATTGTTGAAGCCCATTTTATTGTAGTTCTAAGTAAAGAGCTGTCCTCTTTGCTGCTTGATCCATACTGAGTTCTGTCCGTCTCCGCTACGGGACAGATCTTAAAAGAAAGAATGACCTTTGAAAATGTACAAATGCATACCGCAAAGGTCAGCCGCACAGTAATTGGCAGCACCAGGGCAATCAGGATTCGGTAAGATGGTCTCTGCAGAACTTTCACATGAATGAAAAATCAGTGTAACAAATATAATCAGTCAGAATAATGCAAGATTGCCAAATTTCTTGACATATATACAATATATATTTTGTAAGCTGGCTGAAGCTATTCAGAAATGGATGGCGTACAGATTTGCAATGTAAAAAACCAAAATCTTGTGAAATTTGGAAATGTCTGCTCTTTCAGCTATGTTTTCAAGCCTTTATCACAGGCTTTGAGTCTTCTGCTTCCTGATCTTTTTCTAAAGCTATCCTTTGTGCTTGACAGAGCTTGACTGACGGAACTGCAAAGACACCCGAGTTTGGCAGCAGCGGCAGCAGTAGCTGCAGCCGACCCCAGTCCCAGGTGAATGGGGATGGAGGCCCCCCCTCCAGAGCCAGCGAGGATCCCACTGTTGGAGCATGCCCTTCAGCCACATCACCTTGTGCCTTAGCAAGAGACACTGACTCATGCAATAACAAAAGCCCCTTTTTCGGGACACTGGGGGGGGACCCTGAACGGTGCCCGGAGAACAAGCTTCCCTTCCCAGCTCTGCAGAAAGAGGAATGAATAGATGCCGCTGTGGGTCCAATTGGCTGGCAAATGGGGGGGGCAGGGTGGGATGACAAGGGAAAAGGTTTTGACCTGCCAAGGATGGGATGGGGAAATTCAGCCCTTCAATACGTTGCCTAGAATGTAAATGCAATCAAGGGCTGGGATGAAGTTATTAGCTAGGCAGGGCAGAGACAGAAAGATTGCTGTCTTGATCACTCACATTACAACATTAGCATAACTTATCTGCTCGCTCATCAACAGCAGATGTAATATTGTGAGGTCAAGCAGCCTGCTGGGATTCTTGTCCCTGCTTTGGAGGACAACATCAGCTATTTTGCGTTCTGCCCCTCAAATTTGCCACTGTGCCAGTCGGATCCATAAGGGCGGCAATTTTTTAAGTTTATTTGAATTTATTTTTGTTTTTTAATTTTATAGGGGGGAGTCTTTTTAGGGGGCAAGAATTATGAATTCTGGATTTTGGGAAGGGGGGTATTTTTAAAGGAAGAAAAAGCCGGGATGGTTTTACTTTAAAATGGGGCAGATTTTTCCTGCCTGCCTTGTTTAATTTCTTGCCAACTCCCCCACCATCAGGCCAAATAGCAGTATTGCTTTGAGGGATGGTGATGTTGGTATGGATTAAGGGGTGTGTGTGAGAGACAATGATTTTTAAGAGAGAGAAAGAATAGTACCACCACTGCAAATTATACACAAGATGCATATAGCGGTTGGTGTGTGCTTTTTATTATATATGAGAGAGAGAGAGAGATTATATTTATATATAACATGAATAGAGCTATATATAAATATGAATGCTACAAACCCGGAAGGGGTAAAAATGTTCCCGGGAGACAACTTGCGTTCCAAAGCGCTATGTGTTTTACGAATTAAAGGTCCGCTTCGCCAGTTGCCAGCAATTGGGCCCTATCCCAAGGCTGCGGCAGTAGATGAGGCAGGCCTCCTGATACCAGACAGAACACTTCTTATCCTTAAACAGACAAGCACTTACTGTTACAATTCCAGGACTGTGAGCAAATGGCTGGAGATAGCTGGGGCTGTAAAGGTGTATGGATGGATGGCCATCCAAATGGGGAAGTCATGGGATGAGGCTGCAGAGGTATCAATCCTGCCCAAAAACTGGGGGATGGGTGGGATTCTAGCTCTTGTTGCCCTTAAAAGGGTGACATGGGGAGGGTGGGAGGTTGGTTGCAGTTGCTCAGCTGGCGATTCTTTACTGTTCCACGGAAACCCTGCAAGTTCAGTACACAATCTGGAATCTAGGATGAATTGGGCCTTCTAGAAATCACCCTGCCCCCTTCATCCCCCCACCCCAAAGCTTTGCACAATCCACTACCAATTTTTATGCTGTTGATTATGAGAAAAGTTTTCAAAGACTTTCTGGAAACAGGTGATCGAGGTTTTCTGTAATGTAGGTAAGCTCCATGGTATGGATAGCTCCAACTATCTCTCCATCTCCCTGTCCTTTTGGGTTGCCTAATTTGAATTGCACCCATCCTTGAAGATGATCTTGGAGAATCTGAAAACCTTGAATTTTGGAAACTTGGTAAATGCACTAGAAATGTTGTGTACTGAAACAGATTTCAAATGCAGAATGTTTATATAGAGCAGGAAGTTCAACGTGAAGAATCCAGGAATTAGAAAGAGCAGGCTGAACATTCTGTTGGAAAGAATTTTTAAACTAGCTGCATACATACATGCACTTCTGCAGTGCATGTTTTTGTCTAGTTTCTTACAACTTCTATGGCATGTACCTCAGATGACTTGAGTAATCTAAAATGTGTTTTGATTTTTAATTTTCTGCTATCAGTCAGTTATCCAGTAGGCTGAATGTTTCCCTTTTTGCTTCCTCCAGCAGAGGGGCACATTAAACCACTGCCTGGAACAATGGCTGGTACCACCTCAGACCAAAATCAGGAAAGTATTCTTAACAATGCATAGTAATTATATGAAATTCATTGCCACAAGATAAATGTTGGTGGCTACAACCATAGATCCTTTAAGCAAGCGATTTAATAAATTATTGGGCAACAAGTCATGACAGCTAAATGGAATTTAGATGTCCAAAGGCAATCTTTTCTTAAATTTCAATTACTGCAGAACAAAAATAGGATTGTGCTGAAAAGCGGGGGAGGGTATTATCCAGATTTTTTAAAAAATCTATTTGCCTTACTTTGTGCGAATGTATAAAAGGGCAGTCAAAATAGGTTTAAAATCTAAAGCTGGAGCAGGGTATCTCATTTTTACTGCTGGCTTCATTCCCTTGAGTGGATTATTCATCTACCAGAACCCAAAGTAGGAAGCCCCTCATCTTCCTCCTCCCAGTCCGGCTCCAGATCATCTCATCAAGAAATCTGAACTGTTTGCTACAGATGATTTTTGGAATTAGTCCACACCCAGTTGGCTATTTCTGCTTTAAATACAAAGCTATTTGCTCAAACTTGGTGAAATGGGAAATTCCTTATGTGGTTCTAAGAGCTGGACCTTTGGAAATGATCCATGGTTGCTAGAAGGGAGGTAGCACCTGAAGAAGGTCATCTCTTTTAGGTGAGAACTTGGCAGCAGCTGAGGATAAGAATTGCTTTCACCTTTGGGACAAGAGCTAGAGCAGTCAATCTAAAGGGTGGGAAAGCATTTTTGATTGAAAACTGTCATAGTTGCAGCTGGGGAATATGGAAAGTAAACTCTGTTTTAGAAAATATAGTTAGAGAGCTGCTGTTTAAAGTAGTTTGTGATACAGGGTTTGAATGTTAAGAGCAACTTGATTTTTAAAAATTATTTCCAATAGGTAAATTTTGGAAAATCAAGTATCTTTTAACAGTCAAAGCAGCACACTTTTCAGCTGCAACTACTAGTAATTCTGACTGGCTCTGCATTCTAAAAAATGTTGAAAAGAGAAACCTTTCTTTTTGTTGGATAAACTGTGAAGAACTGGCAAATTTTGTTCCGAATTGCTGGCTGGAGAGTTGTTTAAAGATAGCAGCACTAGAGAATCATACTGTACATTCGGAGAGCCTCTCACAAGCCTGTCACCCCCGCAAAAATAAAATCTTGTTTTCCTTTTTTTAAAACAATATTATTTATTTGCAGAATTAGTGGAGCCAGTAAGTAGGCCTTTTAGAGTCTTGATAGTTGTGTTTCTAGCCTTTGCTGCTAATTTAAAGCCTGTTGTCCAATACAGGAATTGCCTTGAAGAGTCAAGCCAACTTTGGATGCTTGTATTCAGGAATGGCTGGCATATCCTCAGTGGATTCCATTCAGCACTGATAATCTGGATTGCCTGGATAAATCTTTTATATTTGGGGAATACTTTTTTTTTTTAACCACAGTTGTCTCCTCCTTTCCATTTCTGTTGGTTCCTCTGGTTCTTTCATATTACATCCTGCTACAGCCCCTAGATAATATCTTAAATGTTCAACTTTCTTCTGCAAGAAAGCCCCAAATAAAACTCAGTTGTCCAGTAAGCAAAATGAATAAATTGGTTCAACGTACCATTCAAAATACAGGTTTTTTTAGTCTTGGTGTCTAGGTAGCATCCTGTATTTAGAGTTATAATAGCAGATATTAATCCCAAGGTTGTGGACTTCCAGCACCAGGCACTGGATGGTATTTGGAGGGGGGATGTACTGTATGTCTCCAATTCTTGCCTGGAGGATGCAGCATAAATGAATAACTATGCTTGCAGCTAATGTGGTCAAATCCAGCCCTGCATTTTTTTCTACAATGGCCTTAAGTGCCATGCTTTTTGTTTCTTTGTTATGATAGCAGAACAAGGCAGGTCAAAGGGGACTGTGGGGATCTGATTTTTCTGATAATATACTAGCCCCAGTCTCAACTGAAACAACTACTTTGAAGAGATGGTGGGGAAGAATGCTTTACTTGTGCCCTCCATTGTGAAATGTGCTCTAGTCTGGGCCTAGTGAGGAGGTGCTCATCTTATTCCCAGGGTGAATGGTGGGAAAGATAAGGCTATTGTGCTAACTGCCACAATATTTCCTGCTGCAGGCTGTTGAACTCTTCCATCTGGATTGGGATTCCCAAATGAAGTTTGGCGAATAGCTTGTCATTTTCCTCTGCGGATACTGTGGCCACTTTAGTTTGACAGTATTTGTGGGGACAAGGGCAAGATTCTGTCCTAACAGTAGCAGAAATGCCCGAGCAACCAAATCTTTGCCAGTTCTGAGGTCTAATCCCAGAGCTAGAGATCGACCTGCATGCTTACATTACTCAATTGTGCAGGTTTGCTAACATGCAGATAATTTGCTATGCTGTCTCACAGTTCAGGGGCAGATAAGGCTGCCTCAGTTTTCTGTCATCTTCATTTCCTAACACTATATTTCCAGTGCTTCAGAAGAGGGATCTCTTCGGAATGGGATCAGAGTTTGCTTGATTATATTGCTAAGGTAAAAGAAAACATTGGTCCAATTCCCAAAGGATCCCATTTCTGAAGCCTTGTAGAGGAATTCATTTGATTTTATGGTCTTATTGGGTTGCAGAAATTAATGAGTCTCAGATGCAAACTAGTTCATTTAGCAAGTAATAGAAAAATGTCACGGAGTTCTGTACTGTGTTTCTATGGGAGTGTGGCATGTGGGATTGAATATAAAATTCAGCTTGAAAATTCTTTAAAAAATAGTTCCTAATTCTTATTGTTAACAAAGATGTTCTATAAAAATGTATGGGCCTCAGTGAAATTTCAGATCCTGAAGAGATGCCTAAATTTAATTTGGTCCAGATAATTTTTTTTAACATTTTAGAAAACGGTTGTGCAAATACACCATTTGACTATTTTATACCAGTGACAGAATTCAAAGTTTGAGGATTAAATTTTATTTTGTTTTGATCCAGAGTAAACTGACTTAGTCCAAGCTAGTAAAAAATGACTTTCAGTTTCCCTTGACGAATATCCTGGATAACTTTTTAAATGTGTAGATGATCGGGGCATGATTTTGTTTTGAGTTGCTTACTGTTTGCTGAACCAAAAAGATAGAAGGCATCATGCAACTTTAAAATACCCAGTGGGAGTTTGTGCTTCCATAAGGGCTGTAAGTGGGATAATGAAAACATGCATTTCAAAATCCAGTATTGTATCAGAGCCAAAGAGGTGGATAAAAATTACTGATTTTGTTTCTCTTTTCTGGATCCAAAGAATTACCCCTTTCTCCATAGACAGGTTTAGATTTCTGAATGTATTTTGGGTTTCACCTCGATTGGTCAAGGTGTCATTTACTTGCATAAGTTAATATTTTCACTGACATGACCAAATCTGAAATAGCATCTCTGATGGGACGCATGTTGCTTCGTGATACAAGAGCCAGATGGCATGACCTTCTTAAATCCACAATGGAGAACAATAATCTCGTGAATGTTTCTTAAAGAACAGTGGATTTGTATTATGTTGTCGCAAAAAATTACTGTCTTATATACTGCAGTTTCCCAAACCAGATCAGCCTGATATGGTTCCTGTCTGTAGACCTAAAATAAGGGTATTATTTTACGATGAAGTCATTCAAGTTAGAGCAAGGTTTTGTAATCAGAGCCTTTCTTTAAGAGAAGAGGTTCAGATGGGTTCCTCCGCAGCCTACGTTTTAAGTTAGAGCTGATCGATATCACTTGGGGTTCTACTTTTGCAGAGTGAGAGTCTCATTTCCAGGGAGCTTCTTCTCTGTTGATAGCCATAAGTCAGAATAGCCTGCCCCAGTCCACTGGCCAGGAGATTATGGGAGCTGAAGTCCAACACATGGCTGGGGAGGGAACCAGATTGAAGAAGGCTGGATTAGAATTATTCCAGGAGCATTGTGCTAGATTGGGTTGTGTTTTGAAAAACAACACACAAAGTTCTTCATAATTCTAAAAAAAGTTAGATTTTTTTTATTGTTATATTTATTTGGGGGCAAAAGAGTGCAAATTCCCTATCTTTCCTTTAGGTAAAAAGATGTATGCTACCCTTTGTATTTACAGCAGTTACTAAAATTTTTGAGAATCTTATGCTAATCTCAGAGATGCTTTTGCTTCTAGGATCAGAAATCAAAAGTTAATACAGGTAACACCGTGCCTTAAATAGTAATGCTAGAATTAATTTGAACAGAAACCCTGAAATTACAAACAAACTTGATATTTTTAAAAAGGAGTTTCTAACACTGAGAGCCTCTTACGAAATCAGAAATCTGAAGTATTGCTTTGGAGCTCAGGGTTCAGATTTCAAAGATGCTAAATATGCAGCCCGCAAACCTTTATACCTGAATTTAAAAATCTGGAAATGTGTTTCATTTCAAATATGTCACTGCAGGTGAGTGTTTACCACTGTTGATCACTTGGTAAAAGGTATTTCAAGTTTAGCCTGTTTGTGATCCTAGAGAAGTATAGGAGTGAAGATCTAAATATCTAAAAAAAAGCATCTATTTCTCCCACCCTCCAGTTTCTAGAAAACTGGAAACAGCGCAAGATAACCTGTGAAACTTAGAAGGTCTAAAATAGTTCTGGTAGATCATGTGGAAGCTTTATGGAAAGGGAAAGGAGGAAAATCCTTTTGCATCATCTGTGAAAGGACCTGTATAGATCATTGGAAACAAAATGGTTGCAATTAATTGCAAATGCCCAGTTTATTGAGACTGATTCTGGGGGAAATGCAGCAATTGACTGACTTAAAGGTTTTCTCAAGTATTTGTGAAACTAGGCTGCTCCTTTTCATTTATTTCTGTAACCCCTTTGCCTGGCATCCCCCATTCTGGTGCCCTCCATTTGTGATGGATTTCAATTCCCATAATCCTTAAAGTAGAGATTATGGAAATTGAACTTCAACAGTTTTGGAGAGTTCCCTGCCATGCAATTCTGGTCTATATTCTCTCTAGAACTGGGTCTTTGTGTGTATAGATTGTGAAGTATTTATCCCAGTGAATTAAGACCCATTTACTCCATCTAGGTAGTCATGTTTATTTTCACCAATTACTGAGTTATCATAATTGTGATGTTGAAAATTTCTTCCCTATCTGTCATCCAGTGAACCTTAAATTACCAATGAGAAATGTTTCTCCTTTCGTGGCAAAGTATGTTTCCGAGTTCAGACTGCATCCTTTAAAACATAAGAAGACACCTTTTAGGGTACAAGTTCAAGATTAAAACTTAATCTTTTTAGCTTGCTGTATTAGGTTCCAGTTCTGAACTTTTAAAGCATCTTTTTTGAAGTCCAACAACCTTCATAAGGATTTGACCCATCAAATCATAGACATAGGGTTTTAGCATGCTTCCTTCATAGTTTTGTCACCAGGGAGGGAGGGAGAGTTTAAAACCAACCTATTGACCAAGAATATCTGCCTTTCTCTTAGAAGTCACTCATCCCATTCTGAGGTAGTACTGAAAGGTGTGACTGTGGCTAGCAATTCCTATGCTTTTGCTACCAGTCAGCGTGGCTGGAACTCTTAAGAAAATGGAAAATTCCAAATATACTTTCAATATAATATATACTTGAAAAGACTAGGGAGCCTTTTCAGGGAGGGACAGCTTTTAACTTTTCCTGGTGTGGTTCAGAATTCCACTCTTTCTTGGATTCAGAATCAAACAAGCGAACCCTTGGATCCCTGGGGGAAAGTGACAGCAAACTTTACAACAGGGACCTAATTCTTGTGGAGGGGAATGGGGGTGTCCCAGTCCACAAATTATACATGGATACACTTGAGCCTGTGAAGAGGACACAGTGCCACTAACTAGCCAATTGGGCCAGAGAACCACCATTCCCCCCCCCCCCCCCCCATCACTCAACTTTAAAAGTTACCTAGTGCAAACCTTAACTGTAGATGCTTGGATGAAAAGCCCCATTGTACTATGGTCTCTTCTTCTAAGTAAGCATGGTTAAGATTAGGCCACACGAGTCCTACACAAACTACAATGTGTTCTTTTTTATTTTTAATGTAGTTAGCAGAATTTTACTACCAAGGTTGAATCATTATAGTAGCTAACTTACAACATGTATTTTGCTAAATATGCATGTACTTCTATTTTTAATTTTTATTCTTCCCATTCTCTCCCCTCCCAAAAACCACCTCTTCTGCTTTCTGGTTTTACCTGTGCTGATTTCTGTTTTGAAGTCCACCTTTAATGTTTAAAGGAAACCTAATGAACACACACCTGTTAGGAATCTTTCAATTTTTAACTGCTATTTACTGGTCATTGCTTATTAAAGTCAGACACTGTTGCTCATTCTCTAGTTATTTTTCAGATTAGATTTTTGTCCTCAATTTTGAAAGATCAACCCTTTCTTCCAACATGCACCGTATCTGTCTATAATATTACCCTTTCAGATGGGATGTACACCTTTTCTGACTATAACCATTGCTCTTGTATTTTGGTAGATGCTTTGTTGATAGTAACTAAATGCCTAGTGAGATTTTTAAAAGTAAAAACAAACTCATTTGTTATTTTAAGCCAGTCTTTTCCCTCATATTTTCCTTGAGTAACCTTGACATTGCATTTTTACCAGATATATATCTCTCCACAATTGCCTTTTCAAAATGTTTAGCCTAAGATTTTAGCTTAAAAAAATACAAACCAATAATTTTGCTGAACAGAGTAAATCTGATTTTTCTTGTTAGTGATCCCGTCAATTGCAAGTTCCTGCTTTATTTATATGGGAAGTTAATGATCAATACATTATTCCCTTCTACCTTTTAAAAAAGATTTCTTTTTATGCTAATTAACACCTGTTCTTAGTGGATGGATAAATGTTATCTTTACTGTCCCCACCCCAATCTTGATAATCAAATTCCCATCTCCCCAATCCTTGCACCCCACAACATACTCCATAGGTTGTTGGGTTTTTTAATCAGTGTAAGTTTGGACAGGTTGCTCTAAATCAGGGGAAATTCGCAGTAGGTTTGTGATCAGAAAGCTTGGGTGTCTTTTGGGAATGTTTTTTGCTGGTGGAATCTTGGTGCGCTGTTCATCTGTTGATGATGGAGAAAGACTTACAGTGCTTAATAAAGTCTATTCTTTTAGTAAAGAAACAGTGGTGTCTCTTTTGTTTTAAGCTCTGTACAATCAAGCCACCATTTCAAGTCACTGCTGGGCATGTGTTGCAACTCTGCAGAGCTGCTGGAGGGGAAAACCCCAAACTGTAACACGGAAGGAAGAAATCCATTTCATAAACAATTAGAGAGCGACTAAGAGCGCCAGTAGCCAAATGTCAGTACGTCTGTCTTCTCCCAATAACATAGAAGCAAAATAAACTATATAGAATATATCAACTGAAGATAAGTTTTATTTGTATCTCCATAAAGCAATGACCAGTTCAAGCAAGGTATTATGTAATGGTACCCCAATGTGTACTACAGTAGATGACAGGGGAGTCTACTTGGGGAAAGTAGAAAGGAGATGAACTTTGTTTAGGCTACAAACATAAATAAGTTCAAATGTTGCGGCTTCTGTGCATACAGACTTTTTTCCCAACTCTAGTTTTATATAAGTGCTAACAGTTATCTGGTAGACATCATGCATGGAATTACAGTTCCAGGAAAAGGAATGACAGCACAGAATGACTGCAATAAGAAAATACCTTAAGGAGCAGTAGAACAAGAAAACTAAGATTTAAAAAACTGATCGGGGCCTGAAATATATGATCTTGCCATTGTAGATTTACTTGTGCCATACTGTTCTTTGAAATGACTTTGCGTACAGTCCAAAAGACAGAACAACAAATACCGTATTTATGTTACAGCTAGGCCCACAATTTTTCTACTCTTGGAAAATGATTGTTGTGATTGAACTCAATCTTTCTATGGTGCTGGATGATGAATTATGATTGGCTATCCTTTTATTAGCTAGAGTGTTACTATGATGGTTACTGAACACAGATGGAATACTTGGTTTGGCTGGAAAGAGGGATACTCTCTTGAAATCTAATCCTAAAGAGTGGGTAAGACAGTCTTCTTGCTTTCTGCTCTAAAACATGGATAACACTTTAACCTTGCAGTGAAGCCTAATGCATTATCAGGCATAAGGGTCAGCAGCACATAATCTAGGACCCAATTCTAACTCAGATTTAGGATCTGTGCAATGTTGTTCCAATCCTCAGAAATCCAGCAAAAAAATATAGTAACTCACAGAACACAGGAAACTAGATGCAGATTGGAATGTTGGCTATTTTATGGAAAATTGTGCCTTTGTTATGCTTTGCTGTGTTTCATTCTGATTCTGTTCTGCATGTATGAGTGCATTTTTCTGATAGGAGTTAAAGGGATCCCTTTAGAAGTTGCAGTCATTTTGGTTTTGTTTTGCCTTTCAACTCCCATCTAGTTCCTTGATCTTGACATACATAATATAGACTTGAATTCTTATTGAACCAGCACACTCATTCTAAAAGATCTAAAATGTTCTGAAGGGGGCAACTCAAATCATCCACCAGTTGACCCAGGCAGTTTCTATCCTGTGCCAATGCCTAAATCTTGATTAAAAGGAGTCTAAATAATCCACTTTCTCTTGGGCACTTTGAAGCTGGAGCACCACTACTTCCTCTACAATCTTCTCTAAAAAAAGAAGCCTGGGTGGAGATAAAAAGCTGGGTATCATCAGCATATCGATGGTACCTCACTTTGTGTTGATGGATAATCTCACCCAGTGGCTTCATGTAGATGTTAAACAGGAGTGGAGAAGGTACCGAACCCTGTGGCACCCCGCAAAGCAGGGGCCAAGCGTGGGACTCTCCCCCTGATCAACACTGACTGGAACTGGTCCCAGAGAAAGGAAGAGAACCAGGACAATACAGTGCTGCCCACACCCAACTCCTAGGAGCCAATCTAGAAGGATACCATGGTTGATGGTACCAAAAGTTGCTGAGAGGTCAAGAAGAGCAAGGATGGACAGACTACCCCTGCACATATCCAAAAGTGCCACCAATGCCATACCCAGGCCTGAATCCAAACTGAAAGGGGTCCAGATAATCGACTTCATCCAGGATCCTCTGAAGCTGTTGGGTGACCACCTTCTTGTGCTGTGTGACCACAAAACTTTTTTGCAAGCATTCTTACTCCTAGATCAACGCCAAACCCTAAATTTAGCTTTGGTGCTGCCCATCCCCATTCTGCATTTTATCCTCTAATAATTGTAACACAAGAGCCAGTAGTGGTTAAAGGAACGAGAGATTGTAAGTTTGGGGCCAGTCCTCCTCTCTCAGCCCTAGGAAGAACGGAAGGCAATCACAAGCCACTTCTGCAAGTGTTGCCAAGAAAACTGCAGGGACTCGTTTAGGCAGTCACTAGGACCCAGACCGACTCAAAAAACCACAGCAGATTTTTAAAACTGTCGAGCATTGCCATCCCAAGCTCCACTTGTCAAAATAATAATCACAGGCTCTATTTCAGTTTGTACTGCAGGGCCAGTTTCAAATATGTTTCATGCAGTCATAAATCCCACGAAATAAAATCGGAATTGCCCGACGAAGCAGGAGGACTGACTCGAATATGGTTAGGCGGCTCTCCTCACGGCACGGAACGAGCTCTGAGAAGGGTAATCCCGCGAAGCTACGCTAAAGCCCGGATCTCCCCATCGCTTCCGGTATTATCTTCCTGGGTCAAAAATAACCCAAATATCCCGCCTTCTTTCGTGGCGACTGAGACACTCCATCCGCCGCTCTGTTCTCTCTCTCTCTCTATGGTGGAACTCTCTCCTTGACCCGCTCCCCAAGATGGCTGCCGCAGTCGTCGTTAGACGTTGCTTGCTTTGCGCCCCGGCGCCACTCTCAAGATGGCTTCCTCGCGTTCCCATGCCTTGCCTCTCCTAAGATGGCCGCCAGCCCCTCCTCTATTCCCTTCCTCTCCCTTCCCTTGTTTTGAATAAACTTTATTGGGAAGCTGGAAAAGAAAACCCCAGGAACCTGGGCCTTGCGGAGGCCTTTTCAGCGGCTGAAAAGCCCAGAGGGACTGCTTTGCTTCGTGAAGGCCTCGATCCCCGTCCTGGCGTTGTCGCTTCCGCCGGGGAGAAGGTGCCGGGATCTGGCGTGTGAATCAGCAGAGTCTCGCGTCCGCCTCCAGCTCCGGGGCAAGAAAGAAGGGGGAGATCTCTGATTTAAAAGAGGGAGAGCCCCAGACAAGACCCTGGGAGTAAGGGGGAGCTTGGATGGGAATTGGGGGAGGGAGGGAAACAATGATTTCGCTCTTTCGGGGAGAAGAAAATTCAGAGGTTGTCCTTGGAGAGCGAGGGAGCCGTAGCGCGCTTTGTCGGGGTTGAGGAAGAGCTGAGGGTCTCCCCGGGGACGACGTGGGAGAAGAAAGAGGGAAAGCAGGCTCTCCCAATTGCACGGAGGCTCCCCCAATTTGGGAGGAAGATCGGGGGCCCCCTCCCTTGTAAGGTTAAAGGAGCCTGCAAACTTCTGAACGGAGCGGGGAGGAGGAGCTGCAAGCCTGGGAAAATGTTTTGGAGGATTTCAGATTCTTAGGGAAAGCCCCTGAAACGTGAGGTTTGTCAGAGGCGGTTAAGAGGCGATCTGCCGAGGATACCAGTTGTTTGCTTGTTTGTTTGTTTATTTGTTTGTTTGTTTCTGGGCAAAGAAACCGGCCGGACTTCTGGGTCACAACTGCATTTTGCACAAAAGTTGGTGCCGGAGACGTGGATGCGTGTGCGTGAATGAAATTTTTAATCCCCATTTAACCCCAGCTGGGACAGGACTTTTCCTTCAGGCCTCGGCATGATAAGCCTCTCCAGCTTGCCCTAGCGGACAGTTTGATATTGTTTGATTCCTGAGGGTCTTCCTTTGCTTGAACTTGGAGCAGCCCCTTCCTCCACCATGGCCTCTGTCCCAGTGTATTGTCTCTGTCGCCTGCCCTACGATGTCACCCGCTTCATGATCGAGTGTGATGCTTGCCAGGACTGGTTCCATGGCAGGTGAGAAACAAATGCTGAGTGGAAATTGCTCTTTGCTGATCTTGGGCACTCTGAACTGCCTGAGCCTGTTTTCTCTTTGGGGTACTAGGTGTAATTGGAGGTTTTCCAGGGCATGGGCAACATAGGGCACTAAATCTTAGGGGGTGGCTGCTTTCAGAATCGTTTCGCTGGGTCAGACTAAGGTTTATCTAGCTGAAGATCACGTTGCAAAAAAGTGGGTGGTTAAACTCTTAAATGAAGCATGAAATATCTTCCTCTGTTGCTTGTCTCTTGTAATTAATGGTACCCTGTCTCTGCATTGGGAAGCTTGTAGAAGTCTGAGGCAACAAATATTTACAGAGCCAGAGCATTAATCCATACAGATGTTTCTTCAGCAGCAGAACTTGGGTGCATAACTACCAGTAACATGAGTGAAACCAGAGGTAACAGATAAAGTTGGATTCCCAATTAACCAATGTTATAAAGAGTCAAGAAAGAAGGGAATTGTATCCCAGTAATTCTGCAAGGCTGGAGTTCATCATCATTGCCTTAAGCCCTAATAATGCCAATCACTTGGAGGGACTGAAGTAGGTTGTGCATTGCAACTTGTCGTAACCCAACCAAAGTCTTTTGAGTTGGTGCACTATAAAAACAGTGAAATAAATAAATTCCCTTGGGTAAACAGGCATTCATTGTGGTTGGAACTGACCTGCTCATAGATAAGCAGGATCAAAAGTTAAAGAAGTACACTACAGTTTTCAGCCTTTTTTTGTTGTGTTTCAACTCTACACCACTTCCTGTTCCTTTCTACCTCAGATAGCTTTTGTGTAGTGCTTTTATGCTGAAGATTACTTTTTGCTGAAGTTATTGCTGAATGATAGCTTTTACACTGGAAGATGTTCAAGTAGATCAGAGTGGATTTGCTACCAGGACAGTAGTTGGACTTCATAGGGGATTGCTTGATGCTTTTTTTTAAGCCCGAAGTATGGGTATTGGATCATGCTGGTTCGAATAGGAAAATGTTCCTTGGGCTGGATTAGAGACAGATCCCCCATCAAGCAAAGTGTGTATTCATTCCCTCTGGTGTCTTCCCCAGGCACCATCCCTATCTTTAGACTAGAAGCACTAGGCCTGCAGAACAGGTGTTCAGAATTCACCTACACCTCCTGTGATTCAGAGTTGTTTGTGATAGCATGCTGGATCTTTGCAGGGCTGTCATCCAGGCTAGACATTTCAGAAAAGGACATTTGGGTCTAACTTTTTAAAGTCAGTGTTGAGCAAGGTAAGCAATTTTCTTTCTCTCTTCAAGCTGCGTCGGAGTAGAAGAGGATGCGGCAGCTGACATTGACTTGTATCACTGCCCCAACTGTGAACTACTTCACGGACCATCTGTCAGTAAGTTATCATCCCTTTGTGTTTTATACTTGGATGAAGACAAAATAGGATATAAATAAGCATACTAGTGACTGCATGGTTGCTATTTCGTCACCAGTGCCAAAAAATATGGTGTATTGTACAAATTCCTGTGAATAAGAATTCAAAAAAAACATTCTTAGCTGAACAGAGTCTATCAGCTAAAGGAGACTGAAGAGAAGCTTTGTGACAACTTTGCACGGCTCCTCCCACATGCCTGGCCCAGCTTCCTTACCTTTATGGGCTGTTGTTCTACTGTTTATATTATTTTATGATGAGTAATAGGTACAGGACTTTTATGATGAGTAATAGCTACAGGAGTTTTACTTATATCTAAAATCATAAAAATTCTGTTCAGTCCAAGCCATTTCTACAACTTGTGTAAGTTAGGCACATTGAGCAAATGTGTGTAATCTGCCTCTGTGTGCATAATTTGTGTGTTTATTCATTCTAATTATATACATTGCATAATCTCTTTTTAATGCATTCATTGATTTAGGCAATTTGTTAGCTCAGCCCCAATAAGTAGAAATTTTCTATTAGAAAATTAGACGTAAAATTTTCTATTAGAAAATTAGACACAAAATTTTCTATTAGAAAATTAGACATAAATTTAGACATAAAAAACAAAATAAAAATACAGTCAAACCATATACTTTGTAACAGTCATGAATTACAAGACAGCCAAAGCCTATCAAGTTTATAAGCATAACATACAGAAGCAACCCTTCTGACTTCTGGAATTCCAGTAGATACTGATGATATTTTTCAAGCCTGCGTGCAATCATTAAGACTACAATTTTTTTAATGACAGTTATTTGTATCTATAAATCATCTTTTGGCAATCTGGCAGATGGTTATTGATATTGGGCAGGCTTATTTCTTCATCAGTTTTCTTGCCAGATTCTTCATAGGAGGTGGGAGCATTATGTTGGCTGCCTTGAGTTGAGCAAAATAGAGGTGGGATATCATCATCATCATCATCTCTGCACTGCTCTTGTTGAATTGCTCTTGTGCTTGTATATATTTTGATTCCCTCCCTCAGTGAAACGGCGCCGAGGAAATCCAAAACAGTCTGATTCCTCCATGAACAAAGAGGTTGGCAAGACAGTGAAGACTGGTAGCAGTCAATTCATCAAAGAACTTCGCAGCAGGACATTTCCTAGGTGAGAGTGTGCTTGATGGATTTTTTAGCCATTACAGAGAAAAAGAAAAAAAGGGCATTTCAAATAGCCATATTGTGGGATGACTGGTTGACTGGGGTTCTCTGAGCTTGGTTCTTTTCTTGCAAATGTTTCATTACCCGGCTAGGTAACATC